CACACACACACACTCTCTCTCACACACACACAAACACACACACTCTCACTCTCTCACACACACCGGTTCTGGGTCTCGAGTGTGTTCTGGTAGCGCTGCGGCTCCTCCAGCAGCGTCTGGAGCTCCTCCAGTCTGTGTCTGTCTGACTCCTCCTGAACACACAGCATCTTATTCTCCTGCTGCAGACGCACAACCGTATCCCTGACACACAGAAAACACATTCATATGCACTTATCTTACATACACAAACAAGCACTAAATTAATTTCTGAAGGATCATGTGACACTGAAGACTGGAGTAATGATGCTGAAAATATAGCTTTAATCACAGGAATAAATTACACTTTACAATATTCACATGGAAAACAGCTATTTTAAATTGTAATAATATTTCACAATATTAGTGTTTTTACTGATCAGATAAATGCAGTCTTGTTGAGCAGAACAGACTTATTTCAAAAGCATTAAAACTCTTGTTTATTCCAGACTTTAGACCACTAGTGTGTGTGATTAGTATTAAGCTTAAACTGCTCAAATGTTTGACTAGTAAAGTCCAGCCCACTACAAGCTACTACTAAAAATAATTACTACCCATATTCATGTAAGGGTCAGTCTTTTCAATTTTGTGATCATCAGATTGGCTAATTTATAAACTTCTTTACATAATTTTTTATGCAGTATTTACCGGATACAAAATCTGGATGATTTATAAAATAAAATTTTACATTAAATATTAGTGATGCACTGAAATTTTTTTTTTAAATTTTTTTTAACAAAACGTAAGTTATCATTTAAACAAAAATCCAAAACCGAAAATAAATTTGATAAAGGATTAAAAAAAAAAAAATTTTATTCAATAATCAATTTATCAAATGTATTTATTGACACTCATATAGAAAAACTGAGTTGCACATAAACATTTAAATGGCAGTTTTTCTATCAACTATTTAATGATATAAACCCAAAATATGTTTTTGTCCAAATATTTATGGGTATTTCAGTGCATCACTACTAAATATAAAAAAAAAAACTCATTTATATAATGGAAGTAAAACTGTAGCATTTAAACGATAACAAAAAGATAATTAAATATAAAACACAGGCAAAGGTATTATTATCAAATGTATTTATTGACACTCATATAGAAAAACTGAGTTGCACATAAACATTTAAATGGCAGTTTTTCTATCAACTATTTAATGATATAAACCCAAAATATGTTTTTGTCCAAATATTTATGGGTATTTCAGTGCATCACTACTAAATATATAAAAAAAACTCATTTATATAATGGAAGTAAAACTGTAGCATTTAAACGATAACAAAAAGATAATTAAATATAAAACACAGGCAAAGGTATTATAAAAAAAAAATCATTTTTGTAACTTTAAATAAAATAAACTTGAACTGAAATAAAATATAAAAAACGTATTTTATTTCAGCTAGTTGCCAAAGCAACATTTCTCATTTTAATTTAGTTTAACTTGATGTTAAATGAAAAAAAAATGAATAAAAACTGTATTGGCATATTTAAAATCAATCATTCAATCAATCAATCTTAAAAAAAAGAACAATAATACAAAAATAATAACTAAATAAAAAAAAACTACTAAAGCTTTCAAATTAAAATTAAAAAGACAGAAATTATAAAAACAAACTCATTCAAAATATTAATAATCACTAAAATAATATCTCAATGTCAAAAAAAAAATAACAAAAGGGACTTCTGGGAACTCTAAATATAACAAATTAAATACATTTTTAAAACATGAAGTTTGTTGCAAAAATAATTAGTAAATCATGTAAATTAGCGAACAATCAAACAAACAGGTACTGTCACGTTAGTAGCGTGATTATTTCTACTGTTTTAACCTGGCTAGTGCTCACCTGAGCTCTGGTGGCATGATTTCTGCCGACGGCTCCTGAAGCTGCAAACACACAGGGAGAGAGCTGATTGGACGGCAGTGTGAGAAAGGGCGGGGCTTATGTTCTGTCTGTATATGCAGTGTGTGTGACCTGTTAAGCACTGCTGCTGGACCTGAACACATCTCAGGTGTTCAGTCGTCTCTCTCAGTGTGTCGCGCTCACATATCAGCTTCTGCAGCACACACACACACACACACACACACAGACAGACAGACATTCACTTTCACGATCACAGAGTTCATCTGCTCTGATGTGAGGGATCGGTGTCGCACCTCTCTCTCCTTCAGAAGCGTCTCATATTTGTCGTTGAGGATGTCACCGAAAACTCCACCAAATTAAACTTTTTTTTTTTTTTTTCACTTTTTAAAAGAATCAAAAACATATTTTTAAAAACAACATTTCAATATTTTCATAAGTTGAAATTTAGGGGTTAGGCTTCGGGACAGCCACCTCCCAATCGAACGTACCCAATAAATGATGATTTTATATACATTAAGCTTACTAATATTTTAAATGTTATTGTGGGTTTCAGTAGAGAATAGAAGGATCTTTAGTAAACATATCAGATTTGAATACTTAAATGCTTTTTAAATGTGTTTTTTGGTTGTGGGACAACAGTTTGCACCAGTTCTGTAGAATGGCCCATATACTAGGGGTTGCACGACTACTGATTTCTGCTAGTTGATTTCTTATTTAAAGAATACTAGAGTTACTCGACTACTCGTGGTTCATGCTACTGTAAATGAAAAGACATGAAATAGTTCTTATCAATAAACGCTTATTAATTCATAGCCTAATGCAACAATTACATATGGAAATTGTCAAAACTTTATAATAATAATAAAAAAAACATTACATTTTAATTTTCATGTAACAGCCAGTATTTGTATCTGTAACAATCACAAAATGATTCGTATCTGCATTCGGATAAAACCAGGTGGAACGTCGTACAGTTACTTCGTAAGACTCTTATGACTATCTTTTTTTTTTCAAAGTTATCACTGAACAAGTATGCCGTGTTAAACTAAAATAATTATTAATTTCTAAAAAATATATTTATCATGCAAGCAGAGAGATGTCATGACAAACGTTTAGTGATCAACTGAACACGACTGAATTAATTCAATGCGCACATTTTCATTACGCAGAACTCTTTAAGCGAGTCTTTTTTTGAACTTCACTAAACAAATGAGCGTGTGCCACGCAAACCAGCAAAAGATAAAGATGCAAACATGTAGGCCTAGTAGAAAATGTATCTGTATCTAAGTTGATTGTTAGCCTTCTCTTGAGAGAGAGCTGGTTTGGTTTTTGAGAGACAGAGACTCTCAACGCGGCTGTTTGATTGGTGAGTGCGCTGTGCTTATTCCATTCATTCGTATTATATCGTAACCTACGGTTTAAAGGAACACTCCACTATTTTTGAAAATAGGCTCATTTTCCAACTCCCCTAGAGTTAAACAGTTGAGTTTTACCGTTTTCGAATCCATTCTGCCGATCTCCGGGTCTGGCGGTAGCGCTTTTAGTTTAGTTTACCATAGATCATTGAATCGGATTAGACCAGGGATCCTCAAATCTGGACCACGAGATCCACTTTCCTGCAGAGTTTAGCTCTAACCCTAATCAAACACACATGAGCATGCTAATCAATGTCTTCAGGATCATTAGAAAATCACAGGTAGCTGAGTTTGATCAGGGTTGGAGCTAATTTGATTGGTGAGTGCGCTGTGCTTATTCCATTCATTCGTATTATATCGTAACCTACGGTTTAAAGGAACACTCCACTATTTTTGAAAATAGGCTCATTTTCCAACTCCCCTAGAGTTAAACAGTTGAGTTTTACCGTTTTCGAATCCATTCAGCCGATCTCTGGGTCTGGCGGTAGCGCTTTTAGTTTAGTTTACCATAGATCATTGAATCCGATTAGACCAGGGATCCTCAAATCTGGCCCACGAGATCCACTTTCCTGCAGAGTTTAGCTCTAACCCTAATCAAACACACATGAGCATGCTAATCAATGTCTTCAGGATCATTAGAAAATCACAGGTAGCTGAGTTTGATCAGGGTTGGAGCTAAACTCTGCAGCGCATTGGACCTCCAGGGTAAGATTTGAGGAACCCTGGATTAGACCGTTAGCAAAGATGACCAAAGAGTTTCTATATTTTTCCTATTTAAAACTTGACTCTTCTGGAGTTACATCGTGTACTAAGACCGACAGAAAATGAAAAGATGCGATTTTCTAGGCCGATATGGCTAGGAACTATACTCTCATTCCGGCGTAATTGTCATGGCGCGGTTTGGAAAACACAGTGTAAACAGGGGTTTGGGTCCAAGTGCAGGTTTATTAGACTGCAGGAAAAAAAAACAAAGTAAAAACCAAAACAGAAAACACAGAGAGCTAAGACTCTGAGACACAGGCAAGGAACAGAAGACTGACACAATACGGCCACGTAGGGCTTGCATCAGTCCCGTACAAACAATTACTAATAATCCACCCAGAGTGGCGTGGGGAAGGCGCATAAATAGCCCTCAGAATGGGCAACAGCTGTGTGTGTGTGAGTGTGTGCACAGGTGTGTGGAGTCAAGGTGACAGAGTTCAGAATGGGCAACAGCTGTGTGTGTGTGTGAGTGTGTGCACAGGTGTGTGGAGTCAAGGTGACCGAGTTTAGGATGGGCAACAGCTGTGTGTGTGAGTGTGTGCACAGGTGTGTGGAGTCAAGGTGACGGAGTTCAGGATGGGCAACAGCTGTGTGTGTG